CTAGTGACAGAGGCTCCTGTTGCGCCATCTATTATTAGGGATGAAAAGCATTTTAGTTGACCAGAGCTTTGGTGGCGCCATCTCTTGCAGGATGTATTGTAAGGCATTTTTAAAATTTCATAAAAATTATTCTTCTTATAAGCAATAATTGTCATGATGTAAAATGATGAAAAACACAATTTGCAGTACATTGAAACACGTTTCTTACACAAAGTCTACCTGCTTTGGCAGGAACAAAGTCCATAGCGTTTTGTAATTTGATCAATAAAGCTTCGTTCAGACGGGGGCGTAAAGGGCATAAGTGGTTAAAGCCGAGCCCCGTTACCAAGGCAACCAGTCTGTGCAACGTCACAAAGTCTGGTTTAGGGCTCGTGGCATAGGGTTCAAAGTTTTCAACTTTACGCCGAGTTTGGGATAAGCATCGACCAATCAGAGCTAAGCTAAAACGAAGCGGCGTTCTACAGAAGATTTCACTGTCACAAAACAAGCAGAGCGAACGCGGGAAATCAATCGAGCAGGAGAACAGCGCGGGAAAGTTGTAGACACATCCACACATGCGCAAATTTAGCTTCTCTCATTGGCCACGGCTTACACCCCGTTCTCGCAAGTGTGAACGGAATTCCCGTATTTTATGCCCTTATGACTACGCCTCTATGCCCTTTACGCCGCCGTTTGAACACACCCTAAGGGCCCGTTCAGACGAGGGCGTAAGCGGCATAAGTGGTTAAAGCCGAGCTCCGTTGCCAAGGCAACCAGTCTCTGCTACGTCACAGAATCTGGTTTAGGACTCGTGGCATAGGGTTCAAAGTTTTTAACTTTACGCTGCGTTTGGGATAAGCGTCGACCAATCAGAGCGAAGCTAAAACGAAGCGACTTTCTTTAGACGATTTCGCTGTCACATCGAAGGCGACGTTTTTTTTAATATGGAACACATCGTATCCGAATGAGTTGTAATCGTATCCGAACGAAATAAAGAGTTGATCTCGCAAGAAATCTGCGATGATGACATGCATTTTTAATGAGTTTTTCAATTTATATTGAAATATATGGATGAAACTCGTAAAGCGAAAGTTAAGCTCAGGATTATGCAAGCTGTGTATGATCCTGTAGATGATTTTCATTTTATTGTAAAAATTCTTTAAAAAATGCATGATTGCAAAAATTTTATTTTTTCTGTGTAAATTATTATTATTACTTTCTTTCTGTCTATAATTTTTTAAAAAATTATTACTATAATTTTTTTCCTGTTTAATTATTTTTGTATTTAAGAATAAATTTATTGAAAAAGCTGGAAATATTGTATTGCTATTTGCTTCAAATGCTGATTTTCTTTCCAAACAAACTTCATGAATTAATTTTACTAAAACATCAAATGAATATCAAGAATCTGCTGTTTCTTTTTAACAGTAAAAAAATTACTTTAAAGAAAAAAGAAAAATTATTTTCACTTATTTAAGAATAGTCACAATAGTCAATTCAATGGTGTAAGCTTTGTATAAGTAATAAAAGATTAATCTTTTGAGAAAATGCTCTTATGAATTCCAAGAAGGAAAAAATATAGTTATAATAAATATCCTTAAAACAGTCAAGAATATCCTTAAAACAGTCAAGAGCCTAGACAGTTTTGTCTCCTGTTGAAGTTCTGTTCTGTTTTTTAATTACGTTCTCCATGAAAGGAATTTACTTTTAATGAAACTGAATAGCCCACATAATTCGTAACATGGGCTATAATTTAATGAATAGTATTTATTATTGTTATCCACTCTTTATTACTATCATTTGAATGGAATTTTGATCATTAAATTCATGCTATTTCTCTGGTAGAAATTCCTGGATAAGGTATGAATGTTTATAATTTTGATGTATTTGAAGACTTGGGTACCTAAAATTTGTCAATGTGAAATTACTTTTGAGATTTGGTCATAAATAGAAATGACAGCATATGTTGAAATTAAATTCAGGGGTGCGGCTTATACATGCAAATTATTAGAAATAGGTGTATAGTATTAGAAATAGCTGGCAACACAGCAAAATGTATTTAATGATTGAGCATAAAATACATTGCTGGGTGAACGTTTCCTAGTATTGTACTAGTTGTGGTTGCTGGTCATTATGACCAGTTGTGGGATACTAGTACTAGATAATTGATACTGGTTGTGCAGCAAACTACTATAGTGATCGAAAGGGACAGTGAATAAGGAGTGCTAAGCACACACGTTTCACTGTTATAGAAACATGTTCCTTTTGATTGAAAATTAAAATAATAATAATAATAATAATGTATGATAAGTATTGTTTTTAGCTTAACTGCTTTCACACCTGCAAAATGGAAATATATTATGTACAGGCTATCTGTTAGTTATCCTCAAGATTTTTTTTTAATTAGGTATATTTAGAATATCGTACTTCTCCTAAGAGAAATTATATATAAAAATTGAAGAAGGTTTTATATATATAAATAGGCATGTGCATGTTTAAAGTATAGAGTACAATGCAGAAATATTCCAAACTGCTTTGCACAGAAATATATGCGCCAACCAAGTATTGGTCTTTCAAAAAAATATCTCTCGACCATTTCGTTCTTTTTCGTTTTTTACCATCTTCTGTTGCCTCTTGGCTAATGAGAAGAGCAGATAAAAGATCATTCTGTTGAGCCAGTAAAACTTTGTCGCGAGCTGAAAAAGCCATGACACAACGAAAAAAACAAGCAGAGCGAACGCGGGAAATCAATCGAGCGGGAGAATAGTGCGGGAAAGTTGTAGACATTCCACGCATGCGCAAATTTAGCTTCTCTCATTGGCCACGACTTACACCTCATTCTCGCAGGTGTGAACAGGTCTCCCGTATTTTATGCCCTTTAACGCCCACGTCTGAACGCACCTTAAAACTATAAGTAAAATCTTGGCTATGATTTGGACAACGGAAGCATGCGAAAATCATTGTCTCATAGCTAAATCTTGGCTGTGAGGCAATGATTTTTGCATGCTTCCATTGTTTACGAAGAAATCATACACGCAGGCAAGAATTGAAGATGTAATATAGTTGCAGGATGGCTTTTCTTGGTAAGTTTTGCAGGGTTTTATTAGTAATTTGGTCATTTTTGGAGCTTTTCTTGATTTTAATTTTCGAATTAAGTTTGTAATCTCTCTGGGTGTGGTAGGTGGCTTGGTCTGATTCTTGAGACTTTCTAACTGCTGAGTCACATGATCAGTCACTGCTGAATCATTAGCGTTAACAAAATGATTGACAGTGAATTGATTTCCATAAGATTTGGTAAAAGCGTTTGTAATATCTTTTGGATTAGTCAAAGCTTTATTATTGTAATTAATAGGTTTTATTTCATCTTTATTTCTTCTAATAGCTTTAGCAATTTTCCACACGGAGTACTTGATATGTGATAGACTGTTAACGAAGTTGTTCCAGCTGTCGTCTTTATATTCTTTGATAACTTTTCTGTTAGCTTGATTGAAATTTCGTTTATCGATGGAGTCTTATGAATCGAATGAGTTTTTAGAAGTAGTATTTAAGGAAGGTTGAATTTACTTCGTGAGAGAGCTAGAAATCCTGAGTAGCACATTTGCCTTCGGGCTAAGTGTCTCTTGAAGCTGTTATGCTCGGCCGTATATTACATGCCTTTTGATATTTGCCGGCTAGTTCAAATTAAAGGCCAACTACATTAGATCTTGTTTCGGCTAAGTCTCTCTTAGTTAATTATAGTATAGTTCTTATTTTGAGACCAAGCCTAAGTAGAGGCTTTGGTGTAAGCTCAAGGAAGGGGCCAACTGTTCATCTTATTTTGAGTGAAAACAAGGGTAGTTAACCCTTCTAGTCTACAACTTTAGTTATTTGAACCCAGCGAACAGTTAGCTAGGTTCCTCAACATTCATTTAGTAGAATAAGAGTGAGAAACCTACAAATTATCACCTAGAATTATTAAGAATATTTGAGAGTTAGTTTTTAGAAATTGTAGAGCTCCGAATATTTTAAAATGTAGGCTGATTCATACTGAAATAGTGTGGCACTTTGTGCGAGCACGAAGTGATTTTAGAACGACTTAGAAATAACTGAAATTGGAGCAGTCCCATTCTCTCTGTAGTGAATACTTCTACTGATATCAGTAAAACTAATCTTTTCATATTAAATACAAATTTTTATTTAAAGTTAACTACATTGATAATATAAACAATATGGAATAAACGTTAATGTACTTCAAACATTTCTTTTCATGAAAATTTGTTCATTATTTTTAAAATGATATAAATACGAAACTGTGACTCGAATAAATCTCATTATGGCTCTCGAAATTTTCTAAATCCTAAAATGAGGCTTTTAATGTTATGAAGTTTGTCCACCCTGCTAAATGCTTTTAAAAATATTTCTTAGAAGTAAATTTTCGTAGGAAGTAAAATAAACATTGAAGTAGCATGAAAAATCTTGTAGGTATTTCATTTTTAATTGCCTTTTAACCATTGACTTTCGCTGACTACATACACAAATAACATAAAAATTAATTTAGTTGTAGCTTTTTTCTTTATTTCTGAGATATGCATTCCCCCCACAAGCTTGTTAATAGTTATAGATTTTAATGCTTTAGATTGCAAATTCAGAAGCTAATAATTTGTTTTACCAAGTCAAAATAAAAAAAAATAATAAAAATTATACATATATTATTCATAACTAAGATAGTTTATATATTTAATATTAAGATATTAGGATAATTTACACAAACGATGGGAAGCCTCTTTAGCTCAAAAATAACACACCACTCAATTTATGAGACATGCTAAGGTTTAAGAAATGATGAGAAAAAAATCTTGTTAAGGGTTATTCTCTTTCTCACCACCTCATTTTTTTAAATATTTTTATTGAAAAGCAGATTAATATTTGTTTTAAATGAAACCTAAGCAACTAATTCCTTCCTTTTTTTTTTATTATTCAACATTGTATTTTGAAAAAATTTCATTTGTAGTTTCTTTTCTAATGTCTGTAATGTTTTATTTTTCAGATGACTTTATGCCAGCTTCTTTGGATACTACAAAAAGGGCAACTGTAGATATTGGAGAAGGACACCAAGTAACAGTCACTGTTCCTCATATTGAGGTACGGTTCATATTTGTCAAAAATAAATTATTTGTTTATTACATGGAAGAAAGACAGTTATCTTCAGAAGACATAGAAAGTGTTGAAAAAAAGTCTATTGAAAGGGAAATTGTGATAAATAAGAAAACCATTTCATCTAAACTAAATAAAATTCTCTATATATGTAATCTCTCCTCCTCCAGAATAGAAAACTGCCCAATTAACATTTTTTGCATCTTTCTTGTTTTAATAATAATAAAAAAAAAAAGGCAAACGGGTTGGTTTTATAATTTATGAACATTTTAAAACACTATGGATAAAATATTGCTCATTGCTTCCCAGATGATATAGTGTTAGGGGAACCAACTGCAATACCGAAGGGCCCAGTTTTGAATCCTAGAGAAAGCATGAATGTAAATTGTCTGTCCCCTGTCCCCTCATAGGAAGTAAGGGTGGTCACCTATTAGCTGCCTCCATAAAAATGACCATCACTTCTGGCCTTAGTAGTGGTGAAAGCCTAATGGCTAGTTTTCACCGTAATAATAATTGCTCAATATCAAAATTTTAAAGTATTAGGCATACCCGTAAGCCTCATACTTTAAAATAATATTCATTCTGTCTTAAAGACTGAAAAATTGCCAGAAACCAGTGTTAGAGAATGGGCAAATTATTCACGGGTATCTCCAATGCACTAAATATATGTAATTCTACAATAACCTGTTTTAAGAGGAAATATGTTTGTTATGGACTGTAGCTACAAAATAACAAAACTAATTTTCTTTTATATCCATCTTTTATTCTATTTGAAAATTAACCGCTCAATTAGTAGCCATTCAAACATCCAAGCAACAAATTTCTCATTGAACAAGCTAATAGAAAAGAATTACAAAAACAAACGATATTGATGCATGCTCGTTACAAGATTCGTTGCTAGGCAACTAAGTTAGATGCGAAAGGTTTCGCATAGCACATATGATCAGTAGACGATCAGGCGCCAACAATGTTAAAAAAAGTCTCTTCAATATTATATTTTAAAAAAAGGTGGGGCAATATTTTGGGAAATCAAAAAGAAAAAAAGGGGGTGTGTCAGATTCATTTCAAACATTTTGTATGCCAAAATTTTGTAGTATTTTCCGTCTCTGAATTATGTGAAATTTCCATGCATTCTTAATTTGAAGAATCCCTGTATCAATATTAGCTAAGAAATAAAGGATTTCAGACCTGGAACTGCATTTCTAAGTTATGTCAATGTCATGGTTGAAGAAACAAACTTATTCTGGATGCTGTAAAATTTTAAGAAATTTAAGAGAAAAGAGAGAGTTCACCTATTGAATAACTTTTTATCATTCTTGTTTAAATAAAAATGGATGAAATGTCAGCTTTATGAACGAGCTGTAGATTTCCTAACATTAAAATTTTTGGCTAATTGAATTATTGGGCATGAAATAATAATAAAAAATTAAACTGTCATTTTTTGAAAATTCATCAGAAGTTGGTTAATTGTTCTGGAGATTCAGATTTCGATCATTTTTTGGTCTAAACTGTAATGCAAGGCTGAAGTTCTTTGATGAGTTTCATTCATTAAACATAGGTGTGAAGTACTTTAAAATGTCTTAAAAAAATCTGACTGGAATTTTTTGAAAGAGGAGGGGTGATGCTTTGGGGTACACATGGACCTACCTTAGATAATCTGTGCTCCAAATTTCAAAGTCTCTTGTTACTTTATCATGTATTACATAATGCAAATTATTTATACAAACAACTTCTTGTGTTATTGTAGGTACATTTATTCTAAAATAAAGGTGTTATCAGACACTTTTGTTCTGTAGGGGGAAAAAATTAAATAATTCAGTTTTCTCTTTTGCACTCCACTTTTTATTTCTTGAATATATTTTTAAACACATTGGTACACTGTGCAAAAAAAGGCAATTCTATACTATCTCCCATTCTACTGGGCCGATTGACGAAATTCAAATTGGTGTGTTTCATGTCTCGAAAGCGCAACTTAAGATATGCATTAGATTTATATATATCATTGTTCTAATATAGGTATTTTGACACAAAATTGGACTTTTTCTGAAATGAAATGCCAATTTTGTTCCATATTTCGATTCTAAAACTCAAATTATGCCAAACAAGTTTTGTAAAAATCGCACGAGTAGTTTTTAAAAAATTAGCCAAATTTTACAAAATTGAATATCTAGGCATAATTTGAGTTGTAAAATTGAAATACGGAAAAAAATTAGTACTCTGTTATTTCAGAAAAGGGCCTAATTTAGAACAATGTTATATAAATATGTATCTTAAGTCGCGCTTTCGAGACATGGAAAACGCAAAATTTCCAGTGGAACGGGAGATATAGACCCCCCTCTTCTTCTTCTTCTTCTTCTTCTTTTTTTTTTTTTTTTTTTTTTTTTTTTTTTTTTTTTTGTCTTTACTGCCTGTTCAAAACTTTTCACTTCCATACATAGTCCATATCTTTGACAAGTGATGTACAGTTTTTGTGGTTTATCTGAGGTATGCACTTTTTTTTAAACCAGAGGAAACCTTGGTGGGGTAGAAAGCAATATTTTAATGATATTATTTAAGATTGAGCTACTTATTAAAAGCAGGTTTGGGTGAAATGCTTAAAATATTGATTGCAGATTCAGCAATAAATCTAAATAAATAAAAAGAAATGTGACACGTTGTAATCTTGTGTCACTAAAGTAATAAATCAACTGAAAGTAGAACTTGAAAAAGAAAAACAGAAACACATAATAGCAATTAAGTTGCATATTTGAAGATTTAAAATTAACTGTCACTAATATGGGGAAGATGCTAAAAGCAAAAGATAATGAAAGGTATTTAAATCTGTAGTAGAGTACTGTGAAAAGTAGTTTCTTGAAGCTATAAATTTTAAAAAAGGGGTTTATACTTTATCAGAAGAAGAACTGCAATCCTCAACATTTACTGCTGCTTTTAGGATATTGTTGCAATATTATGAGTCTATTATTTCTGAGTGCTGCAATTTTTGTAAAGAATAAAACGGTTTTAGAGAAACGTGGAGAAGTATGTCAAAAAGAAAAGAAAGAATGAATGAGAGAAAGAAACCTGCAGATGTACTATGTCATACTTTGCTAATGTGAAAAAAGCCAATGTGTAATTGTCATTTGTTTGCTCCTCATAAAATTCAGACTAACATATATTTCAATGACATATATTTCAATTCTAACATATATTTCAATGACAGGGAAAATGCCATTTATTATAAGATGATAGTTTGTTGTTGAAACAGCTTGTTTACTGCTGTCAAGTTATGTAGAAGCATTTGGGATAATCAGGTAACATGTTGTAGAAATGTAAAAGGCAAATTATATTGTTATGAAATGTACAGGCACAGTAAGATAGCTACCCCGCAAAGCAGTTTTAGGTTTGCCATAAAATGGCAAGGGAAGGCAGGGTTGCCACATTTGGCAAGAAATCGTCCATTTGGCGACATTTGGCATGAAGAACCAAACGAATTCTTACTGGTTTAGCCCAGAATGTTCTCGAACACAAGCCGAAAGCTATATAAACCCTGCTGGTCCGCAGTAAGAGTGTGTTTGTCTTGTCTAATGAGTCAGTCCGTGCGGAGTTGATCGAGTTGGGAGCTGTACTCGGGTGCTTTGCAGTGAAGCTGTCTCCACTGTGATAGCCTGATAACATGAAGGCTGTATCGCTGATCGTATCAGTATGTTTATAGTAGTTCCTCGACGACTGTAAAACATGTTTTGCAGCTGTCCTGACAATAATAAAGTGTGTTTCGATACTTCATCAAGTGTTGTCGTTATTCACTCCAAATCTACGAACCCCGTACAAACGTGAAGGAAGAAAATAACGTAACAACTACGAAATGTACAGGCGCGGTGAGATGGCTTCCCCACAAAGCAGTTTTAGGGTTGCCATAAAATAGCAAGGAAGGCAGTGTTACCACATTTGGCGAGAAATCACCCATTTGCCAATATGCCATGGACAGATGGAGAATCTTCTGAAACAGATTCTTACCGGTTTAGCCCAGAATGTTCTCGAACACAAGCCGAAAGCTATATAAACCCTGCTGGTCTGCAGTCAGTTAGAGTGTGCCTCGTCGAGAGGGCGAGAGTGAGTGCCTCATCAAGTGCGAGATAGTTAGTCTCAAGTTAGTCAGTCCATGTGAAGTCAATCGAGTTGACAGGCGGGCAGTGAGTGCCGAGTGGGTCGTCGAGTGCACCAAAAGAGTCTCGTAGTGTACCACGGTTAGTGCATCGTCGAGAGAGCATGTTGAGCTATGGGAACGACTGAACCAAAGAGTCAGGAGCAGTGCTCGTGTGTCATCGAGTGCATCGCGAGTTGTAGCGTGGAGAGTCTCGAGAGTACGTGGAGTTCCGAGAATGACCAAGCAGAGTCAGGAGCTGTACTCTGAAAAGCAGAGTCGGGTGCTTTGCAGGAAGCTGTCTCCAACGTTATTGCCTGACAGTGTGAAGGCTGTGTCGCTGATTTTTCCAGCGTGTTTATAGTAGATCTTCGACGACTGTAAAATGTGATTTTGGATCTGTCCTGATTAATATTGGCTAAATAAAGTGTGTTTCGATACTTCATCAAGTGTCATTGTTATTCATTCCAAATCTGCATGAACCCATGAAGAAAATAACGTAACAATATGTACTGATTTGGAGAGTGCATTTTCAAAAAGGCATATGAATGTGCAATTGAGTTTGAATCCACCAACATTTGAAAACAGAGATGTTGAAAGAAGATAGGTATTTATCAGTTTGGAAAATTCTCAGCTAAACTTAATATTAGTGTAACAAAATTTCATAATATAGTTAAGAAGTATCTGAAAATGTTTATTGTTGGTGCAAAAGGATGTCATGCTTATTGAGGAAGGACTTTAACTTCACATTCCATTCAGCATTTCTTCAGTTCTTCAGCGCCACAGCACACAATGAATTGGAAGTTGATCTGTCAGCACTATCCTTATCTTCAGGGCAGATGTTTTTATTTGGCTTATAATTCCTTACTAAGTGTAGTATTTCATCTCGATGTACTCCGTCTTTGATATGATTTAAATCAAGTTCTCGTCATTATAATTCGCTTCCGATAGTGAAGAAAGTGACACAGAGGTTATTGAAAACGAAAAAATTTCGATTGACAAATTAGTCGGTATTCTCGACACAGCAATTATACTACTTGAACAGCGGAACTTTGTAACTAAACAAGAAATTATGTATGTTTAATAGAATTAAAGAGAAAGTGTTATCGCATGAAACGAAGCAACTTAAACAACTTACATTGAAAGGAATGTTTAATAAAGTAAACAAATAAATATTAAGCTTTTTCTTTTTGTAAATTTTGATAACCTTTAGATCATAGTTGTTCTTTATTTCATAAATTACTGTTTCATATTTTTAATTTTGTAATTTCAGCATGCCATCTTACCAGATTTAAACTGATCTATAATCCGGAATCGCTGAAGTCCCGACGAGTCCGGATTAACGACTTTTGACTGTATTATTAATCTAATGATAAAGACTAATGACAGTTTTAAATATTTAGCTTTATGTTTTGTCAATTTCTTCATTGTATCCATAGAAGAAAACATTTTATTACCTAAGCATGCATAAATAATAGTTTTAAAGTTCATTATTTAGTTTCTTTAATTTTAAAATTACTCAGTGCAGAGCTAATATTTGCCTGATTTTCGTTTGGTTACTGATTCTTCTGGATGTTTCTTTTGTCTTTATCACTAAGTTTGTATTTTAGAAAATGTAACGTAACTTCATGTTATCATAAACTTTTGTGGATTCTGAATTTCTTTTGGCAGTTTTTATTTTGCATTAAGAAAACTAATAATGACAAAATGGCCACCTAACAATGTATATCTTATAACCAGTATTTTACTGTTGTTTGATTCTGTTAATTTTATAGTTCAAGTTGTTGGAGCAGCAATTTTAATGCATATATAAAAGTCTTATTTTATTTGATTAAAAATTGCGCTCTTCCAATATAGTATGAAAATTATAAAAAGGTTTACAATAAGTAGAAATTGGGAACTTTTGAGCAACTGCCATGTGTTTTCATATTAGAAAAGATGCCATGTTTATTTCAACAGAAAAATAAGATCTAAGATAATGATTTTATTCAAAATTTGGCATGTTTTTTGCAGATATATTGAATTTACACCTGCACTTAAAAATTTCTTGTTTGTTATATCTACTTAGCAGTAACAGTGGCATTTTGATGAAGTTATGCAATCTTCTTGGAAAACATTACTCAGTAATAAATTTTATGTATTTTTGTGCTAATTTTTATGTTGCATTATTCATTTATTTACTGTATGAAGTTATTTGCTTAAAACTAGGTATGCACTCAGTGTCGGATTAAGACCATTAGAGGCCTTAAAATACTTTTATGCCCTTATGTATGTTTATACCAGTTTTTTTTTTTTTTTTCTTCATTTCTTCTCTCTCTTGGTTTTGCTGCACCATGGTAAAACCAGCAATAGATTTTTGGTGCCTCCTATCTTGAATACCTAAGGACCTTTTTGTGGTCCCCACATCTCTGATACCCTAAACACATGTTTATATTGCTTAATGATTAACCCTGCATACACTGCAAACATTAAAACAGTTTCTGATTGTTCTTGAATGTCTATAGTCTGATGTTTGAAAGTTGTTATTTGCTAATATATAATGTATCATATATTTAGAATTGCCATTATAGTTATTGCAAATTTTCATTTGAGAGTTAAAGGTTTAATTTTATTTTAGGGATCTGGAACTGCCAATACTGTATTTAAAGGATCTAAAAAGCCATACCAAAAAGAATGTGTTCTCATTATTGACCATAAAAGTGGTGAGATTACTCTAGAAAAATTAAGTTATAATGTGCAGCTGAAAAAAACAAGGTATGTTGTGTAACAGCTTTTTTAGAAGAATTTAAAAAACGATATATATTGTTGCAAATTTTGCATGTATGTAAATAATTTTTATAAAATTATGTGTAATTTATAATATATCTTGTAAAATGTAACATGAAAGACCATCAGAATGCAAAGCCTCAGCAGAAAAATTAGGCCACAAGTGCAGACCGTTAAGCACTGAGTTGGCAATGCTTTTTTTTTTGGTGATTAATTTTTGCCACCAAGTTTGGCCGTTTAGCCCAAGTTTGTCCAAACTTGTCACCATTCAAGTGGCATTTTGGTTCGATCCCTGTGTAACTGTAATTGATTTGATTCATATGTAATTGTAACTGTATCTGGTCCTATGTTTAGCTGTATATGCCTTTTAGTAATTTAAAAAAAAATAAATTTGCTAGAAATCCCTCAGTGGCAGCTTAGGGAAAACTATATAAGAACATAGAAAGCATCAGTTCTTAGTTCAGCTCAGTGTATTGATAGACCACTGTGCAAGTTTATGCATTTTGAAGCTTTTTTATATACAGTCAAAAGTCGTTAATCCGGACTCGTCGGGACTTCGGCGATTCCGGATTATCGATTTTTCCGGATTATAGATCATCAGTTTAAATCAGGAAGATGGCATGCAAAAATTACAAAATTAAAAATATGAAACCGTAATTTATGAAATAAAGAACAATTATGATCTAAAGGGTATCAAAATTTACAAAAAGAAAAAGCTCAATATTTATTTGTTTACTTTATTAAACATTTCCTTCAATGTAAGTTGCTTCGTTTCATGCGATAATACTTTCTCTTTAATTCTATTAAACAGACATAATTTCTTGTTTAGTTACAAAGTTCCGCTGTTCAAGTCCTATAATTGCTGTGTTGAGAATACCGACTAATTTGTCAATCGAAATGTTTTCGTTTTCAATAACCTCTGGGTCACTTTCTTCACTATCGGAAGCGAATTATAATGACGAGGAACTTGATTTAAATCATATCAAAGACAGAATGAAATACTACACTTAGTATGGAATTATAAACCAAATAAAATAAAAACATCTGCCCTGAAGATAAGGATACTGCCGACAAATCAACTTCCAATCCGCCGCGTGAAATTGATAAACAGATTTCGGATCTCAAAACATACTTTCGCTTTGTAGATACAAATTACATATTAGTAAATATATATCGGAAATTCTATTTGACATAATCTTTCTAATCTATCATAATCTAATAATGACGTTCCTGCCCCCCCCCTCTGCCGCAGAGCAGCGTGAAATTGATAAACAGATTTCGGATTTCAAAACATACTTTCGCTTTGTAGTAAATATATATCGGAAATTCTATTTGACATAATCGAAAGTTCAAGCTTACTTTTATAAAATTGCTCTAACAGTCTGCAAAAAATAATAAGTCGGATCCAATTCGAAGATTAAGGAACAACGCAATCGGCAACATTAACTGAATTAGATAACTGAATGAGCTTAGCGTATAACTCCGTTACAATTTAAACGCGCATGCGCACAAACATATTCGCAGCCGTAAGGGTCTTACGCGCTCTCGTAAACGCCTGTGCGCATGCGTGAACGCGACGCATGCGCAGAAAGTTTGTAGCTTTGAGGTCCGGATTATAGATCATTCCGGATTATGGGTGTCCGAATTAACGACTTTTGACTGTACTTGTATTTAACATTTGTAGTAGTTTAAAATAACTACTAATTGTGCTCTGTCATCCTGAGAAGAGCTGTACAAGTGATTTGGTGAAAAGTTTGATAACTGTAAAGTGTTTCTTTGGGAAAATAGATTTCATCAACCTATCTATGTGCATTTAATACATTATGAACCCATACACATGTAACAGTATATTTATTTGCTTCCCTTATAATCATTTCTGCGTTTAAAAATTGAGAACACTTTTTGATGAAATGACAAACCCTCCCATGTGTGATTTTTGAGTGTAATTGTAATGATTTTAATGTTGGTCAAAATGTTGTTAATCCCGAAAAGTTAATATTTGGTAATTTACTTAATCTTTGAGATTTAATAATTTTATTTGTACAGATTTTTCTTGTTATTTCATCAGTTCTGTTAAATCCTTTAAGTTTACTTCATTACCTATCTTGATTGTTAGTTGATACAGGCTTCATTTTCTATTTATTGAAAGTTATGGATGCTTTTGATTGACATTATCTTTAAAGTTAATACAGTCAAAAGTCGTTAATTCGGACACCCATAATCCGGAATGATCTATAATCCGGACCTCAAAGCTACAAACTTTCTGAGCATGCGTCGCGTTTACGCATGCGCACAGGCGTTTACGAGAGCGCGTAAGACCCTTACGGCTGCGAATATGTTTGTGCGCATGCGCGTTTAAATTGTAACGGAGTTATACGCTAAGCTAATTCAGTTATCTAATTCAGTTAATGTTGCCGATTGCGTTGTTCCTTAATCTTCGAATTGGATCCGGCTTATTATTTTTTGCAGACTGTTTGAGCAATTTTATAAAAGTAAGCTTGAACTTTCGATTATGTCAAATAGAATTTCCGATATATATTTACTACAAAGCGAAAGTATGTTTTGAAATCCGAAATCTGTTTATCAATTTCACGCTGCTCTGCGGCAGAGGGGGGGGGGGGCAGGAACGTCATTATTAGATTATGATAGATTAGAAGATTATGTCAAATAGAATTTCCGATATATATTTACTAATATGTAATTTGTATCTACAAAGCGAAAGTATGTTTTGAGATCCGAAATCTGTTTATCAATTTCACGCGGCGGATTGGAAGTTGATTTGTCGGCAGTATCCTTATCTTCAGGGCAGATGTTTTTATTTTATTTGGTTTATAATTCCATACTAAGTGTAGTATTTCATTCTGTCTTTGATATGATTTAAATCAAGTTCCTCGGTCATTATAATTCGCTTCCGATAGTGAAGAAAGTGACCCAGAGGTTATTGAAAACGAAAACATTTCGATTGACAAATTAGTTGGTATTCTCAACACAGCAATTATAGGACTTGAACAGCGGAACTTTGTAACTAAACAAGAAATTATGTCTGTTTAATAGAATTAAAGAGTAAGTATTATCGCATGAAACGAAGCAACTTACATTGAAGGAAATGTTTAATAAAGTAAACAAATAAATATTGAGCTTTTTCTTTTTGTAAATTTTGATACCCTTTAGATCATAATTGTTCTTTATTTCATAAATTACGGTTTCATATTTTTAATTTTGTAATTTTTGCATGCCATCTTCCTGATTTAAACTGATGATCTATAATCCGGAAAAATCGATAATCCGGAATCGCCGAAGTCCCGACGAGTCCGGATTAACGACTTTTGACTGTATCATATGATTGTCAGCTGCAGAGAAAATATTGTGACTTAATCTGATTTAAATTAAGTATAATATTTTGAAGAAAACAAAGAATCTGAGCTTTTATAATATATCATGCTTTTTCAAATAGGTATTGGAAAGGTCTCTTTCACAGTAACATTTTATAATGCTATATTCTATTTATAAAGTAACTAATACAGTGCAGAAGCTAATGAACTTTTTGGAGCAGTTCCTATAACCAAACCTATAATCTTTGGTTATAAGAACACAGTAGGTAATTGGAAGATCAGATAATGCTGGCATAATAACCTTTTAAGTGTGATTTTAATGTATGGGTATTTCTGGAGGCTTTAGATTATAGGAGGCCATATTTTGGCAAATTAATTTTTATTCTTGGTCAAACTGATGTAGGTAAGGTCTTCAGAATATATAAAACATGGGAACTTATGGTTCAGTTAAGAGAGCTATGAATCTTAGTAAAATAAACTTTAATGGTTGGGAGTGTAAACTTATAAGTTACTATTTAGGTTTTTGCAAGTTTTTAATATTATCCTCTTTAAACAGGTCTTGGAATCTGATGAAAAGTGTGTGCATTTAAATTTAACATTTTATGAGTTGATCAAATTTCTTCATATAACTAAAAGCCAGAACATGAGTTCGTCATGTGATTCCATCAAATTACAAAATAACCTAAATTGAAATGTATTATTTTACAAAGTTTGGAGCCCTTATTTGCATTATTTATCTATTTTTATTATTGAACTCCAGTTCATGCAGTTTCTATAGGGGTAGTAATCAGGCAGTGTACCTGAATGGCCCACTTCATGTGAATGATTGATTAATTAGAACAGTTCTTCTTATGCTGCACAAAACTCTTTTCTGGAGATGTGATAAATTTGATTTAAATCTACCAATATTGTTAAAACAAATTAACCCATTAACTGCCGAAACTACAAAAAATGATTTTTTTCCTTGTTCAAATAATAATGAGCATTATATTAAATATTTCTAACATGAATTTAACCTGAAATTTTTTAAAAAAATGCTCTTACCTGTGGAAAAATTGAATGTTGCGTTAATGCAATGACAGCAGAAAAAGAATACTAGTGAGAAGTCTAGTGAGTATGATTGTACTCGTATGATTTTTTCTTTTTTTGTTCCCTCCTTTTTTTAAGTGGAGCACTGGATTACTTTTCAGCTGTATAACGTTTTATAAATCTAAAAATCACTTTTTTTCTATTTAATTTAATATTAAAATTTACAGTGTATTTCTTTTACAAATACAAATTATTTTCAATTGAAAGATTCAAGCATGTACAAGCACTACAGTCCAAAGCTTAAATTGCACTGGAGCCCGGCTCCGGTACTTCTTAATTTTTGGGATAAATTATGATTGTGGGTAGAGCTCACCGGAGCCCTAAATAAGAAGGCTCTGGCACTTCTTTTATGTAAGTGAGCAACAATTTCAGTAGAAATTTGGTCTCGAAAATTTTATTTTTTGCAATAAAATTATATTAAAAATCGCTTATTAAATTTTAGTTTATCTCTTTACATTTTATTTCATTTTAATTACTTAAATAAATAATAAATAATTTGTTTTTATTTAATTAAATAGTAATCAATAAATATTAATATTGATTAAATAATTAATAATTAACTATTTTTAAATTATTAATGATTTTAATAGTCATTTTATTTATTTATTTACTTTTGTTCCTCTTTGCTGACGGTCTTCTATAGAGCTCCGGTACTTCTAATTTTAGAAATTAAGCCCTGCTACAGTCATAAAGCTACATTACAATACTTTGCATCTAATAAACAGTCTGGCTATGGCATTCTTTACACCAAAAGTATCTGTTATTTTCAGACTTAATGTTAAAATATGTACCATCTTAATGCAATGGCATTTGAATGCTGAATTTACTAGGTATTCCCGTTGTTGATCAATTTCTGGTTAATTCTACACTCTCAATAGAAGTTTGCTAACGGAATAAAGCAATCTCATATCTGAAATCTAAAAGAGACTTTTTATTTTATAATAGTAGAAAGCCGTAATATTTTCCATGCATTTATATAGGATATATCATGTAATTAGTAAATATTGGCCACCACCATTTTTTACCATGAACTTATTATTACAATTACCACTTATTACAATTCTGTAATTGGCTACTAATTTGTCACATAAATCGACTCCTCCTATTGTCATTGTATTGTTCAGTAAGATGAGGCTGAGGTACAAAAACCTTTTTCCTTTGCATTCTTGAATAATGTGAACATTTTTATGGGCTGGAATTTTCCAAATGTTGAATCAACAGTTACAACTGAATTGTCGTTCATCAGACAAAAATTATTTTGTTTTTCTCTTCATACTGGAAATCACAATAACCCCCGTCTTTCTTACAGACACATTTCACCATTTCTAGTGGGCACATTTGTATGTGGTCTTCTTGAATTATTTCTGTAGCACTAAAACCTTTATTTTTTAGATGACAGAGAAGATAAAATGATGTAAAAAAGTTATCAAAGTAAATACCATGATCGGCAAGAGTTTCAACAAAACTGAACAAATTTATCATCACACTTTTATCAAGACCAAATTCTTCATATTCTGATAATTTTGGAGTTATTGACTTACCTGATTAAATATCAAAGTGAAATGCATATCCATCAGATGATGCTAGAGTCCATGCTTTGTATACAAATCTTATAGGTTTCCCCTTTAAAAGCATCTTACCAAATGTTTGCCTCTGCAAGGAATCATTTGCTCATCAATACTCAGATTGTCGGGAAATATACCAAATTATTGGAATTTCTTGTTTAGTAAGATTACATACCATCTCATCTTATTTTTTCAGTGTTGTCAATTGGACTGTTGTCAGCTAAATGCAAATTCTGCTTTATAATCCTGTCTCGCAAATGTGACATTGATTCTCATACAATAGGAACAGAAATCAAGAGACCAATACATTTCTCCTTGAGTAAAAGAATAATATCCTGTAAGCAATAATATTCCAATAAATCTTCTCATGTAGGCTTCAGATGCAATAAATTCTAGGCTTTTTTTTGGGGGGATAGCATAAATATTTATCTCATTAGCAAGAAGAAAGTAAATGTTTGAACTGAAAAGAAAGTCAGAAATCTCTCCATTAATTTTACCTTGTATTTTGTCTTTTATAGTTTCTTTTTCTTTATTTTATGCATGAGACATAACTGACAATTCTTTTTTTTATCCATCTGAAGTTTTCTCTTCTTTAAACTTTTTCATTTCAAACTTCTTTTCTTTTTTGACTTGCACTGTTTTTAGAAGGCTGAAACCTACTTTTTGCATGAACTTGCACTTCTCTAGCAGTAACATTTGGTAAAATATTGTTATCATTATTCAAAACATTATTATTCCCTTCTTCTTCATCACTAAGTTCTGCAGTTTCTGGTGGAACAACAACAATATCAGTTTCATGCTGGTCATTATCATCATCCGTTTCTTCCAAAAAAAATCAAAAAATCTTTGAAGGGCTTCTGATAATATAAGGTCCTCGTTCTAATAAAGCATGGAATGAATATCAACCAGAATATCTACAGGCATGAGAAAAAAGGGGGGCTACCCTTTCCCCCGTTGATTTAGCACATATTTTCTCTTCTATCTGCACATAAATACAAACAGCTGATTGATGGAATGTTCTGATAACAGTGACCTTGGCTGAAAGTTGATCATCCCTAAAGACGGTAGTTAATTTATAAAATTTTTTCGGAAAATATACCTGGTTGAAAATTTTGCTTCAAATTCGAGACTAATTATTATAAACCAAATTATTATTGAAGACAAATACAGATAATACTTCAGTAATTATCTACAGTTATTATTGAAGACAATTTTTTGCAGAAATAATCTTTGTAATATTCCTTACTATTTATCTGCTAGTATAAAATATGATTGATAGTTATACTTTTATACACATTTATTTTTACCATTGCATTAATGCAACACCAGCGGCTAATGGGTTAAGAGGGGAGAACTATTGCATTTTTAATATTTTTTTTCAATAAGTAAGATATTGAAACTTTTCTTATTTCTTTCCTTCTTTTCTAATTTCTTCTTTCTTTCTTAACTCTTATTATTATTTTTTTCTTATTAACGTTCATTTTCTTATTTCTTACCAACAACTTAGCTTTAGTATGTTTTATTAAATGCTACATGAGATTTTTAAAGGGGCAAAATTCCATCTTCTAATTTTAACAATAATTTTTTGGGGGGTGATGAGAATTGGTGCATTGAGAAACACAAGACCCTTTCTCTTACTCTAAGACTGATTGTTATAGGCTTTGTATACCTTGAAACTTTAAAAAGATTTTTTTTTCTTCGATTGTGTTATATAATTTTAAACAAATTAGACCAGAGTCTGAAAAGCTAACTGCATAAGAACTTGAACCAGTTATCAATCGCATTAAATAAACTAAGGAGTTGTTGCTTGTTACTGAATTAAAGGTCTGTTAGACTGCAGACAAAGGAATCAGCAGCTTTTCCAAATTGCACATCAAAATAGAAAAGTTAAACTATAATTAAAGGTCCTTACTTATTAACTTATACTTCTGTAAAACTTTTGTTTAATTATGTCTTTCGAAATTAAATAAAGTAACTTTAAAAATATTTTTTTTTTATTCCCTGATTTCCCTTACCCCCAAATTTGTATTAAATAATGGATGAATTATAATTATTTCTGTTACTCACTGTATTTTACTTAATGTAATTTTGCTTTTCAAACATTAATTGGTACATTATTTGCACTGAGACAGGTTTCCATTAGGTAGCATAGTTCTTTTTTTCTTTTCTTTTTAATATAATATTTTGCTTTATTATTTAATATTTTCCAGGTCATTTTGGGGGGAGGGGAATAAGAATAGAAAAATATTTTGTGGAACAAGATAATGAAATTGAGATTAAAAGCAATGTTTGAAGATATGTCAGTTAAATAAAATATGTTTTTTTTATTTTATTTTACTAATCAATAAATGTTGGGTATAATTTACTCTGTACTTTATCATGAATCATGAATTTCTATCTTATTAAGTGGATTAATTATCTCTATTTCTAATTTGCATTCTATGCTGTATATTGCTGATAAAATATTAATTATGTAGATTTCCCATGTCATAAGAATATTCTTTGACTGTCAAAAATTAATTAGCAGTTTGGATTTGAATTCAAACTGAGATCCAAACTGATAATTAATCTTAGTCCTCCCTTTTTATTTAATCTGTGTTATTCACTTTGCTTCTTGCATGTGTTCAATAGCTGAGAAACCTTTGGCATTTCATTTTAAATTGAAAACTTGTGTAAATATGTGTTGACTTTTCTTTTATCAATGTTTTTTTCATTCATTAGTTATTTCAAATTTTTATTGATAAAAATTTCTTTAATTAGTTTTCAACCTAAAATCATTTTAAAATATATTATTATTGCATGCATGTATTTTCTTCCATTTAAGATAGTAATTATTTGTAATACTATTTCAGGGCTGAAGGGAGCAGCAGGATTAGAGCTAATACCCCCATTGATGGGAATTTTAATAATAAAAAATCACCCCCAACTCATAAGTTATCTCCACAGCAGAAACTTCATTCTACATTTGGTCGATCTTCTCCTATTCAGAAATGTTCTCCATTGCCCAAAAGTCCACTCAGCAATCAGCCAAGCCCCAACAGCAGCACAATTCCTTCTATGCCTTGCCTGAATTTAGCATCATCAAAGCAATCTGCTGTTCTGGAACCTCTAGGTGCTCATGTTTCTAATGATGAAGTTGCTGGTAAGTTAGATCTTTTCTTACTTTTTCTTTCACAAGACTTTCTCTCAGAGAGTGTAATAAAGAATTTGCAGAAAAATTCCTTATAAAGCTATCTGAGACACACATAAGTGATTTTAACGTTAAATTGTTTTCCAATTAAGTTGTTCACAGCATGTTTAAAAAAATATTATAAATTATGCAATTTTTAATTTTAGAGAAATTGTAAGAGACTATTTGTTATAAGTTTTTAAATAAATTAAATTTGAGAAGCAAAATTCAAGGTTCAAAATGTGATGTTCAACTGCAGAACGCAACCTTTTTTGGCATTTTGAAAAAATATATTTATGTCTGTTTAAAATCACATTAGGATAGTAAGCATGATTTGATGAACTTTTTGGTGCATTGCTTATAAAAATATAGTAACTGTTTTTTGACTTTAAAGGAGAATTTACAGGTAAAAAGTACATCAAAGAAGAATGAATATTGATGGTATTACATGTGGTAAGATGACTTAATTATCTGTAGTCAGACTTGTCTCCCAGGAATTCAATAATTCCTGAAACCTCATCTATAAGTTTTGGAGTTGATTCCAGATTGAATGTCAAGTATCACTAGAGAGTTGCAGGTCATTTTCTGATGAGTTATTTTTGAACTTCATCACTTTATTCTTCATTCCATCAGGAGACTGAAATTTGGTTCATTCAAATGTGGCCTTTTTTTGGGGGGGGAATAAAAAAAGAGTTAATTGAAGGTTGTTTTGTATTGATTATGTTGAATTTGGCAAATTATATTCACTGCAGTATGTTAAGTTAGAAATAAAATTTTATTAAATGTATGATAATGAAGATTGTAGTGAAACACTAAGGACTATATACTACCTCTTTTTTTCATTTTCTTCTTACTTTAAATGGCTGCAAATAAATAACAAGTGAAACTCCTGTGGAGGAATATGTATTATGAGAGCTAAAGGTATGGTTAAGTGGATAAATTTTAGGTATTTATGCAACAAATAATGGAAATGAATAATTTTAGTAAAAAATCTTATCTTCACCATTTTAACATTTGGACCAATTCAACAATTACAAAGGCTGTTCACACATTTTTATAACGATTTTGCAAAGATTAATATATAAACAAACCTTAGACTTCTCTTTCCTAATATGCTTAATCTGATACCCCTTTTGTTGAACTATCACATCTTGGTTTCTCCTTTTCTTAAAACATCAAGGTTGATTTTTGTTCCACTCCTCTTTCACAATCTTCCAGAGTCCATCCAATGTTTTGGTATGCCGTTTATAAAGAGCTTGTTTTAAAAATCCAGATGCTCAGTAATCCATAGGAGACACATCTGGAAACTTGGGTGGAGTGCATGTAAAGGGAATAGTTTAAATTCCGGTTTAATTTCTCGTTTTTTTTTTAAATAGAACAGTAGATTTAGAGGTATGGCCTTATCGTGATGGAACTTGATAGTAATCTGAATTAATTTTGACATTTTTTTCTACTTTTCTTGTGTTAAGTTTTCTGTTGTAAGAAAATCCAGTAAGAATCATAAAAGCTTTAAAAAAAAAAAAAAAACTTTCCTTGTTTTCTCTGAACCCACATATTAGTCATTTTAAGTTTTCTGTTATAAGGGAATCCAGTAAGAATTATAAAAACTTTAAAAAAAAACTTTCCTTGTTTTCTCTGAACCCACATATTAGTCTTTTTCTTCTATTTTTCCATAATAAATATATCTTTTTCTATTGGAATCAGGTAAGTATATCCAAGCCTCATCAATTGTAACTATATATTTACATTTTACACCTACCAAATAATCTTCATACAGGAATCTGCACATAGTCTTACGCTGAGAAACATGTTTCAGCATTAGGCGATAAATAATATACATATTTGTTCTGATTAGCTTTAATAGCTTTAAATCCGATTTTATAATTTTGCTCACAGTTCCTACTGAGATATTTAAAGATTTTGCAATAGTTCTTTTTGGGGCTAGATTTTCCATTAAAAGATGCGGTGCAACTTTAGATTTAATAAGAGCTGCAAGTACCTTTGTTGGGTATGTATTTTTTGCCCTTTTCCCAGTCAAATGTAAACTTTGATGTTTCTTTCATTTCATATTATGTCATTTATTTAAAATGTAGAAGTATTAAAACCATGCTTTTCACATCTTTTTTTAATTATTGAATAAGCGTATTTCTCTTCGTACAGCACAAAAATATAGCCTTCAATTTATTTTTCAGCGACATTTTAGAGAAAATATTTTTAATGCTGCAAGCGATAATTATATTTTATTCCAGATCATCTTATCTTGCCTCGTATTTGTGCTCCTTGGCCTTCCAGAGCCTTCATTTTGTCAGCAATTTCCATGTAGTAACCATTGCTGCCAACATCTTTGCACAGCAGTGTCTGTACGCTGAAGGTGGCGACCTATTGCTTGGTATGACCACGCAACCCTACAATGTGACAACATTCAAAGTCGTTTAGTTGTCTGTAAGGTCTTCGATATTGTCGTAATTGCATCTTTAGTTACTTCTTTACGGAATTACAATAGCAGCAACAAAAAAAGATAGATTTTCCGCCTCTGTTATTGGTTTCATACTTTGCGAATTGCGCATTGGATATGCGCACTATGATTGCAATTCCTGTTCATTTGCCTTGAAACTTTGATCATTTGCATGTTAATCAAGCTGCTTTTGCATACCAAATGTCGTCATGATCGCAAAAGTCCTTCTTGGTGCTTTGATTTTTTTTTTTGCAAAAGTGTGTAATACTACATGACTAATGAATAAATTGTGAACTGCTAGTTGCCTGCATACAGTGAGCTAGTTTCTGTCCCTGTTATCCTCTTATACTTTCTTTAACCATTGTGTGCTACACTTTACATCTGTAACTTCTATTTGGATGTAAACTTGTCGTTCATGAATTTGTATTTTGAGTTATAAGCAGAGTATGCATCTCTTTGAATTAAAAGATACAGACAGCGTTGCTTTTGCATTTGATTGGTACTAAGAAAATCATTTCATTAAAGTTGATTATTGTGTGATAACGACTTATTTCAATTGCACAACAAAAATCATCAGTTTTCTTGCTTGGCTAGCAATATTTATGAATAACAGGGTATAGCCATAAACATTTCCCATAAACATTTCTGCAAGAACTAAACAAATTTGTTAGAACATTACAACTTTTACAAGCAACATAATATAACTCTATTTTGGTACATTAATAAATTTTATTATTATATTTATTTATTTTAATATTATTTTCATTATTATAATAATTGCTCCACAGTGCCCACCAAAGTTCCCCATTTCTGAAATGTGCTTGCCATTAAAATAAGTTGCTAGCTCCTATTTTAAAGGCTTCATAAATTGGATTTTTGTGCATATTGCGTTCATGATTTTGAAATTTCTTTAAGGCTTTTTTTCTTTAATACAAAGAATTAATTATGGGAGGAAAAAAGAAAATGTGCATATTATATCAAGACTTCTTTTTATTTATTTATTTATTAGATGCTCCAGAAATAGGAGTTTTGTCTTCCAGTAGTTCAAGTGAGTCTAGCAGCAGTGAAGAATCCAGTGATTCAAGTTCTAGTGACAATGAAGAAATGGCGGAAGTTCCAGCACAGCAACAACAAAGTAATGAAACAAAATTTATCTTTGATCTATTTTCTGTATTTTCATGAATGTAATACAAACTTTCACTATTAAATGTTGGTTCATTTGAAGCATATTAATATCATAATAGTCTGAATTTTTCTCATTCAATAGTTTATAGCCATTTGGAATGAAAGAAATTTTTAATAATAAATTGAAAAGCTTGAAACCTGAGATTACTGTGTAACATCTCGAAGAGAATTCTACCATTAATTAGATGAAAATGATTTTTGCTGTTGCCAGCTTCTAAACTTACATCTTTATTGGTAAATAAAATAAAAATTATGTTTATTTCTGCATTTCTTTTATGAGCATAAACATGATACAAAACCACAATACTAAATTACTGTCAACTTCTGTGATGACCCTCTGCAGATTGATAAAAAGGATGCTCTATTAAATGGTCATTTTATTTAAAGTTGCTTGAAGGTTAAAAAAAAGAAAAAAAAAAAAAAAAAAAAAAAAAAAAAAAGAAAGAAAGAAAGAAATATTTATCAGTATGTTATTCCATTAAACCAGAATTTCTTAAACTATGGGTCGCAAATCGAAATTTTGGTGTTGCAAAAATTCAGTTTGGGAGTTGAATTTAAAAAAAAAAACTGCATTCCTAAGACTTTTAAAGAAATTACATTAATTGGCATTAATGAGATTAGACTTTTAAATGCATTAAATTAATTGACATTAATGAGATAAATTACCTGTTATATAAAGTGCAAAAGTAGTTTGTAAAACTATCTAGCGATTCAAAATTAAGACTTGAGTTTTCACAAAAATCCTTGATGAATCTAGATCGAAGTTAGAACTAGATTTCTCACTATTTCTGAAATGGCATTAAACGTTCTCTCATTCAACCCCACATATTTTTATGAAACTGCTTTTTCAATTTCAACACTAATTAAGACCAAATGTCATTCAACGTCCTGAAAATGCTTTATGTCCAGCAGTCTCGAATATCGCACAAACATTTAATTTGTTATGCAGCAGAAAACAAGCACATCTGTCTCATTAGAATTTTCTTTAATTTTTGTCTGTTTAAAATAAATTCCAAAACTACTTTTTTATATGTATATTTTTTTTACCAAAGAAGTAAATTATTTATAGGAGGACATTTATTTTTATATCTTTATTTTATGTGAAATATCTGGGGTGGTGAAGAAAATCTCGGTGATAAAAAAGGGTCGCGACTGAAAAGAGTTTAAGAAGCTGTGCATTAAATGTTTGAGTAATGAAGAAATTTATCATTAGAATTAAGTGTAATTTAAATAAATAAATCACTAGGTAATTAAAATTTTTGTTAATTAAAAATTTCATTTCATATGCTGTATAAAAAACTAGAAGGAATCAAATAATTATTTAAAAATTTGTAAGCAGAAGTAAATCTTATAGTAAAATCATATGTACTAAATTATTTCAGGTGAAGGCCTGCCCACTAATTCATCCCATTTTCCAAAGTATTAATTTTTCTTGTATTTTCTTCTTTTTTTAAAAATTTTGCAACACTTTACTTCATTTTTTTGCATTTTTTATTGATAATGCTGCTGCTCTTGCTCTGTCTTCATTAAAGAATCACTTAGATTTCTTGAGAATTTCAAAAACTTGCTATTATATTCTCTGCATGTGGAATATTTTTATCAACTATAACATAATTTTCAAAAGTGATGAGAGCAAATCTATTTGTTTCTCCGTCTTTTGAAAAAGCATTTTATATTTTTTCCATCTGTATCAGTGAAGAATTCTGAGATTTCATCAATGTCAGAAAATTCCGAAACAGATTTTTCATTCGTAAGTCCTGCATGCATTGTGAATCAGCAATGTGTCATTTTCATCTAATTACTTTTAATTAAGGCAAGAACAGTTACCATGTTTGTAGCAGTAAGACTTTTATCTTGTTTATGATGCAAGTATTTGATCTGATTGAAATTTATTCATACGTAGCTAGTTATAATGCCTTTAGAAGTTCTAAATTATAACTAAATTCATAATTTAAAAATTTATGTAAGACTTAGAGGAAAATATTAAATTTTTTCCCTTTATACCTCAATCATGTGTAGGTCAGCTATCAAAGGGTATTAGAATGTTTCTTTTCCTTGATATTTTACATATAATATGAGTGTAATTTATAAAGCTTTGCAGAGCTGACAAAAGCAAAAAAAAAAAAAAAAAAAAAAACAATATAATTTTTAAGCATATAAATATTTTTTAATTATCTTGTAAAGTCTGTGTCTCTTTGGGAACATAAACTTTTAAAAAGACTCTTGAAGAATTATCTTCTAGCCTTGTGAAACAAAACTGATCAGAAAAAGGGAGTATAAGACCCTTTTATTCAAACATAAAATTAACAATGATCCAACTTGGGTTACAAGAAGCCACTCACTTCTGACATAGCAGAATAACTTAACAAATACTAATTTCATGATGTTGTAGATGAGCCTAACGGCTCACAGAATACTTTAACATGCAGGAAGAGCTCTGGTTTGTAGTAAACCGGCGAGACAAGCCTAATGGCAAGAACACTCAGCTCTGCTAACACAAGTTGCTAATAATCACATCACAATGTAGCGTGAAATAGGCAGACATGCTCTAAAAATAACTTTGGAAACTCTTGCTTAAATAGCACTTCATTCTACCTTAATCTGAATAAACTCTTGCTATCCCATTCACATTCTGGCATGAAAAGTGTGAGTGAAAAGAGAGTGAAAGGAAAGGCCTTCTGAATTTAAAATGAACTATTAGTTAAAAATAAATAGATAAACCTCACATCTTTTCCTGCCAGAATTTAAGTACATAAAAAAGAGATCCTTAATGACCTTGCTAAGAGCTTAAATTCTAACTTTCTAACTTCTTAACCTTACCAGAGCCCACCTCTTAAAATAAGATTAAATCTTTGAGTAATTAAATGTAAAATTCAAAATTTGTGTTGCAAAATCTTGATACTCTTCTTGGTATGTGCAAAATTTCAGCTGCTCACATCCTTCCAGAAAATTTGGAAGGAGAAAGATTTTAGCAAAAGTTCTAGAAACAGGATATACCGTTTTAACATTTTTTCATCATGCTACACATTTATTTCATTATTTAAATCTCTCTCCCCATGTTCTCCAGAGGAATTGGAGTATAGAAGTGAAAGCAGTGTCTTTTGTAAATGTATTTACAGATACTACTAATTAACAATCTAAGTGTTTTTAGAATTTGACACACGAGATCTCAAGGACTCCCTATTTACAAAACTCCATCTAATTTGTGAAAAGAGAGTGTGATGTAACTTAAAGTGTTGGCTGGGGAGCCTTACTCACTCATGCACACAACTAAATTTACTTTGAAGTTTCTCTGTTTGAAAGTTTACAATCACATTTCATTCATACAAGATAATTAAATTCTTATAAGTAGGCAAATCTTTTTTAAACCAAACATATATTTGTGAATACTTTTCACAACAAAATAAAATACGTTAAATAGCTGTTTACAATAGAATTCAGCTTGCAATTTACATCAAGATTCACAAGTTGCTTTGAATTTTCTAACATTGGCACTCTTGTTTCCCAATAGCAGTCTCTTAGACTAAAATTGTGTTCTTAGTTCATGATTACATTAACAAAAACACAGAATTCAGAAGTCAAACAACAAAAATCAGCGTTATATTCACAAAATTTTCACAGGACTAGTTTCGATGGTTTCACCGAACCATCATCTTCAGCTGCAAAACCGCAAATGAACAAGATAGGAAATAATTATTAGATAAGATAAGAAAGCCTGGACAATAATAAGCAAGTAGCGCCATCTGTTGGCGAAACCAGAACTAAAACATAATTTCTCTAAAAGCCGAAGGCAAATTTGGATTGGAATTAGGATCGTTAACTAGAACAGAAAGATTTTTATGAATGTGAAATGCCTCTAGAAAATCCAGTTCTCCAATGGAAGATGTTTTTTGAATAATTTTGGCAGCAGAAAAATTGAAAGTGTGATTATCGGACCAACAATGTTGAGCAACAGAAGACTTCTGTGTTTCCTTTTTCTAACATATGCCTCATGTTCTTTATTTTAAGGCTCTCTTAGTTTGACCAATGTAAATTAAACCACACTGGCAAGGATTCCTATAAATACCCCAGGAATTCATATCCGGAATGGGGTCCTTGAGTATAGAAGTTGGAATTTTATTGATGGGAGAATAAACAACCCGAAAGTTAAATTTCTGCAAAATCTGTGCAACTTTATAGCTAATTGATGGAAAGAAGGGAATGACAACAGAATTTTTATAATCTCCTAAAATAAGAGTGTGGCTTTTAGTGTGTTGAGATGACAATTTTTTAACTGCTTGATTAATAATGTTGGGTGAAAAGCCCCTGTCAATAGCTATTGCTTTTAAATAATTTAGTTCTTCATCAAGGGCTAGTTTGGAGGAGCAAACTTGAAGAGCACGGAAAACATAGGAATGAAATGAAGCTAACTTTTGTTTAGTCGGGTGACATGATTTAAAGTGTGGTGGAAGGCAAACCGATGAAGGTTTACGGTAAACTGTAGTACTGAAGTTGGATGTGTTACGTGTGACCAGAATGTCGAGAAACGGAAGAGAATTGCATAAAACGGAAGAGAATTGCAAGTCTCAAGTTCAAAAGTGAACTGAATAGCAGGATCAATAGAATTCATTGTTGAAAGAACTTTATTTAAATCATTTTTATTACCTTCAAACAGGGTAAAAGTATCGTCTACGTAGCGGAACCATGCCGGGAAGTTTAAAGTTTCAAACAATTTTGATTCATAATAATGCATGTAGATATCAGCCAGGATGGGACTGAGGGGGCTTCCCATGGCTAATCCCTCAGTTTGCTTGTAATATTTATTTTGGAAAACAAAATGTGTTTGTTTCAAACAGAGTTGAGTGAGAGAAATTAGCTCATCAATTTCGATGCAAGAGAAATGAAATTCGCGAAGTCTGGTTTCTAGACATCTTAATGCACCCTCCACTGGGACATTGGTGAATAATGATT